TTTGACAAATTTAGCCATTTCCGTTAAAAACTTTAACACCGTCAATGACACCATCAGTAATTTGAACATTACGCTGAGGTGGATGCCATCTCAGCTCACACGTCAGCCCAACAAGACACACCCGTGACACCTGTACGCCACTTCATATTTTAATTATAAAATTTACTAATTTATTGTAATAAAAGATTCAAAAAAAAATTCACCCCTACCGCCGCCTGCAAAAAAAGACCCCTCTTTTCACACAAGTTCCCACCTACTCATAGATCTCCCGAGCTCCGACGAGCTCCCACCACCACCACAAGCTCCTCCCTTGTCTACCGCCCTCTCGCCAGGACGGCGTCATTGATCAATCTGATGCTTTCAATGGATGTATCCTCTTGGTATCTGCCGACTTCACTCTGCCTGTCTTTGCCCGGATCCGAACCGACCGAAACCCCGATAAGGAACGCTGTGGTTAAGCGATTGGGGATTAGCAGGATCGATTGAGGGGGTGTAGAAGTGATCCTTAAAGTCGACTGGGTTGCACGGAGGTGTTGAAGTTGGAGAGGCGACAGATGGACCCAAACACCCTACCTCGACGGCAACGAAGGGGAGGACCCATCTGTGTTCCTCGACGGCTCGCCTCGACGAGTCTATGTTCGTCGACGCTTTTCAGTTTGCTTTTCTCCTCTGTATATTTGGAAGCAGCGATGGGAGATTTGATTGCCTTGATAGGGTCCCCAATCGAGGACAGAAGCCCAACCATCGAAGAAGATGAAGAGAGATGAGGACCATAGAAGAACCCAATTCCTGGGTACTCGCCGCGGTTCCGACATACGTAGATCTGGTCGCCTTCGAGGCCTTGAGCAGAGTCCCGAAACTTGAAATTTCTTTCCCGACAACAACGTCGGATTTCTTCGCAGCCGGAACAACAACAGGGATTCCTTTTTTTTTTGTTTCTTATTCAACGGGTTCTGGCTTCGTAATCGAATTTCTGTTTCGATTGGTGTTGTTTCCCCAATTCCAGTGACTCGCCGAAGTTCAATTTAATGGTAGATTGAAGAACCCAAGTACTAGTCAAACTTTAATCTGGGAGGGTAGATGGTAGAGAAAAGAAAGACTAGAAAACTGATGGATTTTTTTCATTTCCTTTTTTATTTAAACTTCTTTTTGTTTCTCAATGTAATTACAATAAAAAAAATAAACATTTCCATCTGGCCGTGGGTTTGAGGAAAGTTGCCACATCATCATAAAACGTTTGTCCAATCATCATTTGTGAAGGTACCGTTAAAGTTTTGGATGGAATGACTATATTTGTGTATTTTTCAAAATGTGGCTATTATTGTCACATTGCGTATAGTTATGGCTATGGAAATTTATTTTGCCTAAAATTAATCACCCAGTTGGTGATGATAATGCTTCAAATGAATGACATTTTTTATTAGTATGTCGATTCATATTATATTAGTGAATACATGCAATATTGTTTTAAAAACTTTAGTAGTTTCTTACCTGTCATTTATTTTTCTTTATTCTCTTATATATATATTTAGTAAAATTTAACGCCCTTATCATATGGTACGTGCTTACTAAAATTGCACCAAATTATAATGTCTCAAAAGAAAAAAATGTAGTACAATAAAGTATATATTTTAAAACTCCGGAAGAGTTAATATTTTGAGACGTGAAGGAACCAGACTTTCAGTTGAGGATGCATTATCGAATTGTAGAGATAATCGCAGAAATGAATATCATTTTGAAACAATTGATAATTGATATTGCATAAGAAATGTGTTATAAGAGAACATATACTTAACTTGAGAAATTTGTTCTACATGTATATTAGTACATATGAAAGTGTAAACCAGAAGTTTACAAAATCAGATAGCTTTATTTTTTGACATGTCCGGCTATACCATGTCGGATCTAGATGCAAAAATCACTGAACTTCTATTGAGAAGTCAAGGAATTCCTCAAACAAAAGAGTTGTTATGCAACACTTGTTCTCAAGAAGAATTGACTATGTTACCATCAATTGGAAAAGTAAGAGTGAATTTCTTTTGAAGTTTTATGATAGTGTATGGAGAATAATACACTCATCATGTGAATCATCTATTGCATCAACAAGTTTATCACAAGTGTATTTGTCATCTAACCGCGGCCAGATGTTCGCAAAATTGATTGCACAATTATGAAAATATTTTGATGATTATCCAATCAAACATTACTTTTCTTATGAGAACAAGCTAAGTCTACCACTCTCCTGTCTAGACATAAGTGGTAACCTTAATTCACACGAAGCCAAGAAGTAATCATAAGTTCCCCCCTAGAAATGATTTTTTATCAAGAACCTGTCATTCCCATCGAGAATACTCGAGGTGTACTATATACATCTCAATTGCTCCACCACAACATGTTCAGATGATTTCTCACTAGAGGTTGAGAATTTATGTTGGATATGAGTTCTCATTGCAATGAGTGGTTCTCTCATGGCTCTTTTGTTTTTTGTTGGATAAACAGTTGGGTGTAGAGATGAGGTGGAATGAATCATCATTTTGATCCTCAAAGTTCATATGATGATTCATCGAGGAAAAACATATTGATTGCCAGACACCTATACTCACAAAAAGGAGTGACTATGTTACATGCCCAACTGTACGAATGCTTCAATACAAATTGATGTCCGTATCGGACAATCTAATATATAAAAAATTGAGTCAGACGAACGCATGAACCGTGGTAGACCGATCGGTTCCAAGGATAAACTTCTCGAGAAAGAAAGAGAGCTATAAATAAAGATGGTCAACTCGAGGATACACTAGTTCTAGAAGAGTTACGACATATAATTGAGATAATATTTCCAGAAGAATAGAAGGTACCTAAAAGTTGTGAAAATGAAGAGACTCAATTTTTTGTGTCTTAGATGAAGAAAAAGTTGGAAGCAAAATGAGCTTATCGTCGACGAGAGTTCTGAATGTGATGCAGCACTAAATACGATAAATACAAATGAGGATCAAAAGTAAAAGTCTATTAATGCATGCAACAGAATAATTTATTGGTCAATGTAAAATAAATTATTAGACTTGTTGGGTTAATTTTTTGGACCAGAAGTCCTTACACCTGAAGATGTAAAACTAACCGGATACAAATGGGGTTTTTGCACATATTTAAGAAAATGTATGAAATTGTGATAGATGTAATACAACTTGTGGTAAGAGATTTTTAGTAGAAACCTACCATTGTTGAAGTGGAGACATATTCCCTGTGATGAATGCTATTAGTTTTGAAAATTTAATTAGTGTGGCAACTTGTGAAGAATGAAATATGCATATGATAAATGTGTGAAAAACTATTTGTATGGATCCCTTGATAATAATACAATTTTCCCTGAAGGTTTTATTTGCCAGAAGTAAACATGTGATGTTCTCGAGAACACGACCGATAAAATAATTTCTTGTATGGATTCAGATAAAATGGATGAATATATTATATTCATCTAAGTGAATATATGCTAAAGGAACTAGTCGAATAAGCATTACGTGATTAAATTAAAAAAAAGCATTAGAGCATCTGCATTTGGCATGTGTGATTGTTTAAGACATATAGGCTTATGTGCGTGGTATTGTGGTTTAGTTTTATGTATGATTTTGATTTATGAATGTGGTTTGATTAATCGATCTTGTGTGCAGTGGCGGACCCAGGAATTTTGAGTAGGGGTGTCCGCTTTCAAAATAAAATTAAAAATAAAATAATTCTTAAATAAGAAAAGTATCCGAATAATATTCAACAACACAAATATTTGGTTAATACAAGTTACAACAAATTTCCACGTCGTGTTTTCATATTCTGAAAATATTCTAAAATACACTTCGTGTCTACAGTATTCAGCAAATCTCTTTCAATATATCCTACGAGACAATCATTCACAAACTGATCGCCTAGTCGATTCCGAAGCTTGTTCTTGATGTAACTCAAAGTTGAAAAGGCTCTTTCAACACTTGCAGTTGCAACCGGTAAAGTCAATACAACTTTGAGAAGCAAATATACCCATGGATATGATAGATTCACTTTTGTCTTCACCATCAGCTGACACAATTCATTAATTCCTTTTAATCCATGGAATAACTCATCATTCTTCACAGAATGATAGTAATTCTCAAAGTCCCTTAGAAGAAAAGAGTCAGAAAGATGACCAAACTCTACAGGATAAAATCGAGTAAGACTAACCAGCTTCTTCCTGTCAAAAGCAGCAAAATCATTCTCCGGGCTAAGAGAAGCCATACAAGTCAACAACCTAGTATTCACCTCATCAAAACGGTTGTTCAACTCTTGCAGCTACATATCAAGAACAGAGTAATACAATTCAACCTGATAGTGATGCAAGTTTGTGATCTGTGGAGCCTTGCACCTTGACCGTCCTGGAAGAACATACTCATCATTCATGCCAAGAACGTGAACAGATTCCTTAGTGCAAAACAAGATAACATCCTCAAGTAGAGACTCCCATCCTCGATCTCTCATCTCTTGTAATCTATTTTTTCCCACACGAACAAGTTTCATAGCATTTACAATGTCTTGATCTCTCCTTTGCAATGCTAGCGACAACTCATTCGTAATTGCTAACACTTCAATCATCAACTTCAAAATGAAGACAAACCTGAAATCTTGAATTGTAATCAACATCCGCCATGCATGACTCGCTCTTTTTGGTTCTGTAGTTGGATCATCCTCGATTCTCTCCAACACATTAATAATAGTAGAGAACAAGTGCTCAAAATTGAGAAGTGCACCATAATAAGAACCCCAACGAGTATCACCTGGCCTATTGAGACTCATTTCTTGATTCAGTCCTTGTCCAGTTTCTTGTTCATTAGCAGCTATAGCCTCCGCAAGCTTCCTAGTTTGGCTATCTCGAACCATGTCAGCTCGTTTGCAAGATCCTGCAACCAAACTAGTAACACTATTGACTGTTGTGAAAAAGTCACCAACTTCTTTGTGATTTTCTGCTACCGCAACAAGTGCTAATTGAAGTTGATGAGCAAAGCATTGAATGTATATGCCGAAGAATTTTGAGCCAAGATCAAGGTCTTCAAACCATTTATTTCCCCTTTCATGTTGCTAGCTCCATCATAGCCTTGTCCCCTTATCATTGACATGCTCAATCCATGTTTCAAAAGCATTGCTTCGATTTCCTTCTTCAATGTCAACGCTTTAGTATTTCGCACATGAGAAGTACAAAGAAATCTTTCCATAACACAACCATCAGAATTCACATAACGCAAAACAATAGCCATCTGCTCTTTCATTGATATATCACGAGTCTCATCAACCAATATGCAGAAAACATTATTCCCAATATCTACAATGATTTTCTTAGTCGTTTCACAAGCCATAGCATGAATAAGATCTCTTTGAATCTTTGGAGAGGTGAGTTGGAGATTCTTTGGAGCATTCCTCCCAATCACTCTTTGCACATCTTCTCTACCAAGAGCATGGAAATCTAATAGCTGAAGAAAGTTACCTCTGTTACTTGAAGTTGCAGATTCATCATGCCCTCGAAATGATAATCCATTCACTACTAGCCACCTTATGCAATCAAGTGAAGCAACCAAACGAATTCGATAATCTCTTTTGGCTTGATCTGATTGTCTAAATAATGCAGCTTCAATTCCTCTTGCTTGCTTCAATAAAAGATCTGAACTGTTTTTGGCTCTATTGTGGTAGCTGTTATGCTCCCCAACATGATCATCAAAAGCTTTCAATTTATTCCATGTTCTAAATCCTTCACCAATAAAGCCATCATTACTCCCACCTCGCTTACTGAACACATAGCAATATAGAGAATAAGCATCATCTTTTGAGACACTATATTCAAGCCAATTATACTTCTTAAACCAAGAAGCCTGGAATCTACGCTGCCTTCCACTGAAGTTTCTCGCGGGAAAAGCATGACTCTTTGGTTGAATAGGACCTTTTTGAAGATAAAATCTTCTAACCTGGTCACGGACATTGGGATGAAAGCTAGATATCTTAGTTCTTAATGCCGGATCTAGCACCTAAGAGTTTTCATCAACCTCTCTATCTGACTCTGCTGGGAAAGACTCACTTTCTTCTGGAGTTCGATTAACTGAACCTGAAAGATTTGGTTCTTGTATTTGAGGAGCTCTCACTGTCGAAGAAAGAGGAAAGGTTTGAGCTTGTCTACTCCCACTAGCTTCAACAACTTCAGTTTGAACATTAGGAGTAGATTGGACCTGTCTTGAGTAGTATCTTTCCATTGGTACCTGATCTAGCATAGAATGTACATAAAATTAGAATTGAAATTCCACTGTAAAACTACCGCTACTTTCCCCACCCAAAAGTTATGCTTCCCCAAATTAGATTGGAATTCCCCACCCAAAGTTATGCTTCCCCACTGTAAAACTGCTGCTTAACAATTGGAATTGACAATTGAAAAGTTCAATTGTTGTATACTTGTATATGGCAGCAAGTTCAAGCTTACCGTCAGGGGAAGTTGCAGCGGCCAGCGGCTGAAATGGAGGAGGACTCAATGGACAAAAGAGGCCGACGAACAAGGACGAGGCCGACGGAGAGGACGAGGCCGACAGAGGAGGGCGAGGCTGGATCATGGCTCAGTGGCGCGACATTGAAGCTTGATGGAAGCAGCCGCAGGGTCTATTTTTTGCGAAGAAGAATCTGAGTCTTGTTTAGTTTTAGGGTTTTGTTGTAAAATTGTGGATAAAATTAATATGTTTATAACTATCCGTATCTTAAAATTATAGCAAGATATGAGTTGTAGTGTGATGGAAAACATGTTAGCTAATAACTAGAATGTCCCAAGTTCAAATCCCATAAGCCAGTATTTTTTTTTCTATTTTTTCCTAGGCTCAAACTACTACCGGGGGTTCGATAAATTTTCTCCGAGATTTTAGGGATGTCCGAGGACACCCCAATCCTCCCTGGGTCCGCCCCTGGTTGTGTGTATGACGTGGTTTTGTTTGTGACTTTGTGGTCTAAAGTAATTGCTTGCATACAACTGTGTTAGCTAAGTTTTAGAGTTATTTAAAAGAAAATAGTTGAGACATTATTTTATAATGATCTCATATGTTTTCGCTGCTATGAACTCCAAAAGAGCTTCATAAAGCAATAGATTGCTTAGTTAAACAAACATGTATGATTTAAGAAGATCCTTTTTGTGGATCAAGAAGATCAAATAAAAAAAGTGGAAAAACAATTTTGTATGTAAAATGACATACCTTCAGCAGCCTAATGATCATACTATCAATGGAAGTGACAAATGATCCATTTCGGCTTTGAGATAGAAATAAATGATTAGGTCCTGAAGTATCGTAGATTGATGTCATTAGGGCGCTAATGTATCTTGCTAGCCATACTTCATCTAGCATTTCATTTAGTGTTAGTATATTAGCAAGATATATTTTCTCTCTATATATATGACAATCAAACAGAGTTGAGCTTATTCTTCGTTACCTTCAGGTAACAATAAGGATCAAAGATGATTTATTTGTTTAGTTAAGTTTGTATAACTATCTCATGGAGATTCCAAAATATATCATAAATACTACATCATGAGAACATGCACAATGGTTAGTATTCATGAGGATGTTATGAATTTTTTTGCTAAGATTTGCGATTCAACACGTCTAAATAACTTGTGGGTGTAGACCATCTTCATAGAAAATGATCCTGAAGATCATGTATGAAGAACTTGGTCCCTATAGATCATGCATAAAGTGACAATCGAGAAGATTTGTTCACTAAGAAACTTATCATGACTATATCTGAAAGTTTTGTTCACAAAACTACACTATAAGGGGAGCATATACGCAATGCACTCTTTTTTTCCTTAACAATGGTTTTTCTATTGGTTTTTCCTGGTAAGGTTTTTAACGATTCAATTTTCAAATAGCGTATTATGATTATGCACTCTTTTTCCTTCACTAGGATTTTAACTAGGCATATTCTCAATAGATGGACATTCAAGAGGAGTATTATGAAACAATGTAGTATTGTGGATGTACATTAGATTGTACAATGGGTGCTACTTTGTATTCCATATTAGATGCTACATTAGGAGGTATTTACCTCCCTACATTGATCATGGAAATGAATCATATTCATGGTTATTATATCACATTCATGTGCATTGATAGAGGAGAGTGTAAAGCGTATGTATATGTGCCTATAAATAGAGCACCCCATTGTACAATTGTAGAAGCTAAATAAGAAGAACACTTCTCTCATCTTCTCTTGTGTTTTTCCTCTCCACATCTGTTTTTGTTTCATTCTCCATCTTTATAATTTTTATAACATCAACCATACTAAAAGTGACTTCGTATTTTTAAGAATTTGAGCAACACATATCTGCTAACGACTAAGAAATCTACTAGGATTCACTCACTAAAAAGAGACGGTTGCTTATTATTCATTGGATGGTTTTACAAGATATTGCGTCACTTTGCTGAAGAGAATCGGGAATTGGGGTCTGGAGATGGTTCCGCTCTTATCTCTTCGGAGGGATGGATGGAAGTTGCGAGTGGAAATCTCTTCCAATTGGGAGCCATTATAGAGGAGCATTACTGTTATTTTGGATAAGGAAGGGAAGTTTTTTCCGTTAACTTGTGGAAAATCAGAATGGGTGGAGATGAGCTCTGCAATGGCGTCATCACTTACTTGAGTTATTTGGGGAAACCAAAATCTGGACCTGGAAGTTCTGTTAGAATGACTGATAATTGTTGTGGCCAACTTTTCCCTCCAAATATTTACCGACAGGTGCGCTGACTGGCATTGACAGGTGGAGAATGTCAAACTCTCAAATCACCTCATGAAAAAGGTAATTACACTAATTAGGAAACAAGGTAATGTTTATAATTACGAATGACTACTATTTATTTGTGTGGTGGATATCACCGTATCTATATATTCTTAATGACTTTATTATGTTTAGGGTTGTTAACCTGTTATAATGGTTGGAGTGTGTAACCGATAATTGAATCGATAATCGGCGGTTAGCGATTACATCGATAACCGGCTGTATGTTTGTTAGCCTACCTCCCGAATTCATCTATTCTTTTCATCTGTTGGCTCCATTGAGTAATGATGGGTTGATGATGATGATGGAATCAATGGATCACATTCAAATCCACATCTCCAAGTTGCAACCCGCCCCTGCGTTTCAGCTCTACTACTGCATCAGTTTCTATATTATATATAACAAAGTGATTGATGCAACTTGCAAATCATTTGGGATATTTTCGCCCACTTTCCTTACTTGGCCAGCTGAGGAGTGCAATTTTGTTTATTGTCCACAAATGTTTTTGTTTACTTACTTTTCATTTCCATGTGGTCTACGTTTGTTTCTCAAGTTTCAATGCTTGAGGTTTCCTTCCATATATATATACTTCGTAAAAATTGCTTGGCTGAAGAAAAGGGTAATCCAAATTGACCAACATGCCGTCAGTTATGTCAATAGGGGGACGGGAGAGTTAGCTCAATATCCATACTCGTTTCACACTAAGTGCGGATTAGGTCATGCAAACTCGTGCAGGTACGGGTTGGAGCACATATAATATTGAAGAAAATAACGACGAAGGTATATAGGTCGACCACTTGATGGCGGTCATTAACAAAATGGTCGACCATTTACAGAAAGAGGCCGACCAGATTGAAGAGAAGTGTTATATCCATTTATCCATCATATTTGACATAAAATGAAGATCGTGTTGGTTTCGCGGTTGACCCAATCCGGTACTAGGTCGACCGAATATAGGTAAATCAACCTATGCCCTGCTTCTTTTTTGCTTATGTATGTCGATTTGGGTGATTCTTTTGCTCATACAAATTATGTTTCAAACCAACAGAATCAGTCATAAATAATGATAACAAGGACTCATAACTTCATAACATAACAACTAAACAAACTAACAAGAAATACAATAAAATACAAATCCTAATTGTTCACACATAACTAAAATCTAAAACCACAAAATAACAATCATTTTTAACACTTAACAATAAAAACACACAATCTAAAATCATCGAATTCCTACTCTTGTCCCCTCTCTCCCTTATCCTTTTCTTCATTGTTGTTGCTAGCATTATGGTAGTAGGATGTGGACATGTGGTGAGATGCATGTATCTTCCACTGAAAGATCGAAAATCATCACGCATCTCATTCACGGCCACCTGCAGTGTGCTCATCTGGGTCATTTTCCCATGTAGTCGTACATGCCAGTCATCTGGGTGGACTTCTGGACCATTTATTCGTACATGCCATCCATGCACTCCCACACACGCTCTAAGGTGACCGGTGGAGTTGAACTTTGTGTCTGCGAAATTGGCTCGTCTCCGGCTCCTTCATCAGAATCACCATCATCATCCTAATCATCATCACCACCACGGATACCATGAGCATTGTTTATTCGGACATACTCACCATTACGCAGCTCAAAGCCCATCTTTTTCAGAGATGAAACTGTATAGAACTCCTGCCTTGAGATTTTTAAGCCAACCTCACCATTTAAATCCACATTAAAATGCTCAAATAGCAAAGTCATGATCATCCCATAGGGAAGATTCCTATTAGAACTCTCTGCAGCAGTAAGCATGCGGTTAAAGATCAAGTATGACAAGTTCACCTACTCATCTAACATTAGGTTGGTGAGGAGTTCCATGTCAAAGTAGGTGACTGCCTCCCGATGTCCACCATTTGGTAGAATGTTGTAGGAAAGCATGTGGTGAAGAACTCTGACTTGAACTGTCAGCTGGTTACTCGTTGGCTACTGCGATCCTGAGCATCTTCCTCTTCAGCAAGACCACATAACGTATGGATTTGCTTGGTTCTCGAAAAATGAGTTTCATTCCAAGCAGT